TATTATTGGTGATTAAAACTAACACTTCTTTGGTACCTTGACTTTAATATGTTGTTAAGTAAGTCTTTTTCTAACTGTCGAAGCATAAATTTTCAGGCTAAGAGTAGTTTATATTTTTTTTAACGCTGCAAAAGGGTTTCTTCTGGAATAATGAACAATATTTTCGTCATCTCTTCTAGACGTTTTCCTCTTTCGACCACGTGTTTCTAGTGTCTTTTCTTTTTTAGTTGCATTGCGTCCATTAAATTTGAAATTTCTTTTAAAGTCTTACTTTGGTATCGTAAACTTTTGATCAAATTTTATTCATTTATCAAAAAATGTACGTTTCGCCCCATTTTTCTTTAAAAACAAATATTTTCTTTTTGATTTAACAAATTTCACTGTAACTTCAAATTAATTTCATCTTAATAAAGGTGTTCTTTTAGCTAAATAAGTTAATAATTATTGTAAACAGTTTAATTTTAAATATACATTACAAATTATTTTGCACACCTTAAAATAAAATATTTAAGAAAAATCAAATAAAATCAAGTTCAAACTTGTTTATACATCACCAGCAAATAACACAATATACATAAGAAAGTGAGGTTAGAAATATCTGTGGGATTCCCGCGTTTATGTCAAGCACGTTCACAAATATGTTTTGAGAGACACCTTATACTTGTTATTACCAATTACTTTGAACACACCACTGTATACTTTAACAAGTTTTTACCTTTATACGTTAAAAAAAGGAATTTTTCTGTTAAGCAAAGATTGCAAATTTTTGACAAGGAGTTATTAGGATTGCAACTTTTTAAAATTTTCCACTTAATTAAGGGTGTAAATATTTAGTCTTTTACGTCCTAAATTTCTTCAGACAGCACGGTATCATATTTATTTATGTTAAAAGATTTTAGGTGATCAACATACCGGGATTTGAATGGAGTTTCACATTTGCCAAAATAAACTTTTTCTTTGCAGTCAGGTTTATTTGACGACACGGTGGCTTCATAAACGATGTTCTTTGTCAAGCACTGATTGTTCATGATGGATTTGTTGACACAGTTGCATGTTTTTCTCTCATCTTTACCTTGGCTGTATAATATCCTGTCGGAATAATCAAAAAATATTTTTTCAGCTCGTTGCTCTCCTTCTTGGGGTATTGTGACCAAAATTTTAGGCCTTATTTGTTCCCAGGCTCCAATCATTGCGTATTTTAGCAAAGCATCCTTATTTGACATTGATATGAATATATATATATATATATACATATATATATATATATATATATATATATATATATATATATATATATATATATATATATATATATATATATATATATATATATATATATATATATATACATATATATATATATATATATATATATATATATATATATATATATATATATATATATATATATATATATATATATATATATATATATATATATATTCATATATATATGTTAGGAGTTTGCATACATAACTAATTACCTAAGACACTTATGACTTAAGTATTTCTATTGTGACATTGGCGCAAAATATTTCTACTGGTGTTTTGATATTTATTAAAACTTTGGACTTTTTTAAAAACTCAATTTCTTGTGTTTTTAATAGTATATATATCTAGTATATATGTTTATATATAATTGTTTATGTATATCTTTGTTAGGGGTGTTCACATAAACACTGGAAAAAAAATTTTTTTCTCTGATCTGAATGCACACTAGTTTATTTTGTGCCAATTGGCATTAAAATTTACGGTGCAAAAGATAATTAAAATAAATTAATGTTTAGAGGTTGCTCAATGGCCTTTTAGTTTTACAATAACAGCATTACGCCTTAAATAGTTTTCTTATTTTATCCGATGTTCAATTTAGATAAAATATTAAACAAATTTGATGTACCATTGTCTTTTATGAGCTAACCTCTTTGATCATGTGACAAACAGCCATCTTGTCGTCTGATGTTTTTGATTGAAAAATATTTGTATAATTGTAATTTTTTGCTGAAAAACTAAAATATTTAAAGATTTTGAGGTTCCTATTTATTTTATTCCTATAAAATAATAATTATAGCTGTTATGCCAATATCTTGTTTTTTAGTGCTAAATATATTGGGTGACTTAACTTGCTTTAGTGTTTGTAGTTTTGTTATACTTATGATTTCATCACACTCATATTTAAATATTGATCACATATTATAAATTATGTTTGCAAATTTATATTTAATTTCTTAATTTGAGTTTAATTTGGCATCATTTAATTTTAGCTTGTTGCTAAAAATGAGTGAAAAGATAAGTTATTCAAACTTCCCTTTGACACGTAGTT